GAAAAGTCGATGGCGAAAAATTCAATGAGTAAATTAGTAAACTTTCGCCAGTGTACATAGCATACTGGGTATACTGGGTTTCCAATTTTTACTCAGAAGACAAAATTGCGCTGTGGCTAAGTGGCTACCATTCCGTAGGACCGGGGTTCTATCCCTGGCCCGAGCACCATGTAAATTTGAAACGAATTTTTCTCACAGCACGTCCCTCGATTTGTGTTATAACATGAGGACGGACACCACAAATTGGAGGAGAAGATCTGCCAAACACTTAGTAAAACTGTGCAACTTGGTGTAGGTGGGATTTCATTGTCGGACTTTAGTCCTACCCTTGGCGGCCGCTGTGGTGTAGTGCTCAGCAAAGCGCGCTGCCATTCCGCACCAATTTATTATTACTATTAAGTAATGTTTATTGGGAGTATCTATTCGCACTTTGCCAGTGTCACTAGTATCCCATTGTCAAACGGCTTCGGTTTTAGCGGTGTCACCAGTATCCGATATTTTATATCCTTTTCCCAAAAATTTAATTAAACTCGATTTGTTGCTAAAAGGTTATGGCAAATATTTTGACCTACAATTCTCTGCCTTAGATACGATCAGTGAAGCTCTGAAGATCCAAAGAAGGATCTAAGATGTATATATACTTAAACTAGATCGCCCTCACCCGCTTCGCAGAGCGTACGAAATTTCCCCGTGTTTTATTGAGTAAAATTTATTTCAAGAAAACTCAACTAAAAAACAGGAAGTTTAAAATTTGTTTAACCATCTTCAAAATATTTTCAAACAAAAACTTTCTTTGTCATACTTTTTCAATTAACGTATCCCCTGAACTGAACTGGAGATTTTAAACAGATGGAAACCTCCTATATGCAATATTAATTCAAAATAATTGTAATACTTAATTAATAATTGTAATACTTAATTAATTAAATTAATTATTATTAATTCAAAATAATTGTAATACTTAATTCAAAATAATTTAACTTAATTTTTAAAAAGTCGGCAACCCTTGGGAAAGACTTAAAGATTATTCAAAACTTTCAAACTAACCGTTTCTTAACAATATTTTGTTAGGCAGCCATATTTTAATTCTTCAGATAGCTTGGGTATAATTAATTTTAACTTGACTTTTCAAACAGGTGGCAACCCTTTTCAAAATTTATTCGAACTAGAGCTGTTTTAAGCCTCTTGACATCAATTTTTTAATATAATTTTGAAATAAATAACTCCCTTAATTGAAGTTAAATTTGATTTTTTAAAGGGTGGCAGCCCTCATCCAGTAATATATCCAAAATGTTTCCTGAGTAATGCAGTATGAAAAATTCCGTTTGTAGGGAAGTGACACGCCCCCTTGTCTAATCGAGATTAAGTTGGGCTAAATGAAAGCAGTGTACAAAATTTCATGATGATCGGTTGATTAGTTAAAGCGCGAAAGCAAAGCAAACAAAAAAACTCACTTTCGGATTTATTATATTAGTAAGGATATACCCGAAATATACGTCACAAACCATTCCGCTAGTGAGAATAGTTTTTCGAATCTTTGTATAAAAGAAACAAATAATATCCTAGCTTCTCCAATTAATTTTCTGCCTCTTAAAGTTTTCACGCCTAGAGGAATTTAAATATCTATGATGCTGATGGATTTATAAGATATTTAAAATAAGCATAGAAGCCATCAATTATGATACTTTAAACCATACCCAATTTTTTTTTTTTTAATAACGCTACTTTCCCAACTAAAAGCCACTTTTGCATCTGCGCCTGGCAGAACTATTTGCGAATTATTATATGAGCGATGCAGAGTCATTCGCTGATAATGCGTGGAAACTATTCCTTCAGGACCTTGCAGAGGACTCATAGGTGGAAATAACAGCTAGCATAGCGCCAAAAAAGTGTAGCGAGTTTTTTTAACATTGGGAATCCGACCAAAAGCATTTCATTAAGCTGGTCAAATAATGAAAAAAGTACCAAAGAATTTACCATTTCTTTTTTATCTCAATTTGTAATTTTGTATTTTCAGGTGTAATTTCTTGAAAAAAAAAACATTTTCCCTGAGCGGAAAGGAGAGGGGATGGGCGAATTTTATTATATTTATATATATGTATGTATATACATATATGTATGTAGGTATGAAATTTGTTAGCAAAACCAAAAAAACATAATTGTATTTGTTTAGTTTTTAACCCTAAGTTCATAACTTTAAATCGATGTTAAAAGGAAATGGGAACCAACTTTTTCAAATGCTTTGGTATTTATTCATATTTTGATCTCTTTTAATGAATGAAATTGGCCTCATCCCCATCATATTTTGAGTGTTGCACTGTGTAATTTAAGATTATGTCAGACATATGTGTTCCAGTTGTCCACTCACAGACAACTAATTTGATCACTTGCGTAGCAGTTGTCGTTCGTTAAAAGACACCGTTATTTATCTTGAAGTTTGCTTTATCAAATACCAAGGCCGAAAAGGGTTTTTTTTTAAGTACGAAAAGCGACTTTTGGCCACATAAACTGATTAAATTACCCACAGCGTATTGGGAGGGGTGAGAGTTCCTCCTTGTGGTATGACAACTGGTCTATATCGGCCTATAGATACATATATATGTGCAGAGAATTTCTTTGCCAACCATTCCAACCTAACCTAACCTTAGAGAACAGCTAGCAATTTGCGTATCAGAAAAAGCCTACACAGATTTTTCCGTTCAATTTGTAAATATAAATTGTCTCTGTTGTTAATTCATAAAAGTAGAAGTTTATATCACCAAGCACATCAGCAGCGACTGACACAATTAATATGGTGACGAGAGCCGAGTTCGGAGAGTTGAAAAATTCAATAATTCCCATATGTACTTCACCGAAGAGCACTTGAAAACTAATAAAAGTCAAAACTTTTTGCACACTAACCAATCGCGCTCGCTTTACTTTCGCACATTCACTCTGCACTGGCATCCCACTCTGTATCTACTCACCCTCAAATAAGATCTTAGCTCAATTACATTTATGACATTAAACGTATATTTTTCGCTTACTTGCTTCACCGGAACTTGCCACACCCAACCCTAATAGTTCCATCGCGTTATAGCGATCAACACGAGGACATACCGCACGCCATGGCAATGCACAGAAAGGCACAGAACATTGATGATTGTATGTGCATAACGAAAACAGCTGACACTGTCCAAGCCACCAAGCGATGGTAACGTTGGTGATGGCAAAAGTAATCAAGTAAGCTCGTGGTTACTGCCTTGCGGTTTCAATGCAATGCAATGCAATGCCACAGCAACAAAATCGGTATTAACACTAACCCACACAATTGCAAAACGAACAGCCGCCCCAGCACAAACATTGTATTCGTATGTATATATTAGGGCGGTTCAAAAATGCATGTGATAAGGATTGTTCTATACCGATACCCCTATTTTTTTATTTTGAAATCAAAAATTATTTAGAGGTCGCTCAAAGCGCCCAAAGTTGTCCATGCGTTTTATATGGGAAATAAACAAACTTTTCCTAGAAATGGTATATAATTCTTATAAAACAGTATTTTTCGATCGGAAAACACTGTTTCTCTACAGTGGCTATAATTTATAGGTCCCTCAAAATCCAAAAAAAAAATCCAATGACAGAACCAATAAAAAATCGTTAGTATTAAAAAATTGTCCACGAAAGGTTTTTCTATTCCCATATATACACATATATATATATAAATACACTGAAAACTTTAAACGACCTCTAAATTTTATTTTTTATTTTTTGATTTCAAAAAAAAAAAAAATACGAGTAAATTTTTTCGGTATGGAACAATCCTACGGATGAGAGCATTAAAATTCCGACTTTACTTTTTTTTTTGGGCCGCCCTCATGTACATACATTCGGACTATTATTACAGTTCTTTGTGGCTATAGCACTGTAAAGCAATTCAAGCCATTTGGGTCATTCGAGCGCAGCATTCGCATACACGTTACGTCGTATGTACGTTAGAGTGTGTGCACCAATGGATCGAGAACTTTGCGCTCGCATTACTTAAAATAATAATAATTCTATGGTTTTCATTTCCTGCATTGGGCCAGCAGCTTGCCATTGAGCGTGTTGAGTGGGCCAGAATTATTGCATTTTCTTATGTAAGTGTCATAGAAGTAAGAAGAAAAATATGCCATCAAACTACAGAAAAACAGCTGGCAGATGCAGAAGAGCAAATTTTATGAAGAAAGGTGGTAGCAGTGCGGGCAAAATGTAGCACTGCTTGCATTTATGAGCGTATTGAGTGAGGCCCTCTATGTCGAATGTTTTATATAACAATCTGTTTTACTGTTATGACTACGCTGTTAGTTTGCGGTAGTTGTGTTTTGGGAAAAATTAGAAACTTGTTATGTCAGTCATTGCATTTTACTTTCAATGTATACATACCAGTATTTATTTAAAATAACCCAGTTTGAGGTTAGTGAACAAATAATTGTACCGTGCGCTCTTCTAGTAATCGGTAGTACGTAGATATTTATACACATATGTTAAAAATTATATATGATATATGTAAATACATACATGTGTGCATTAGGGTGCACCGCTAAAAATATGCGGCTTTTTCCACCGGAATTGTAAGCTTGATTATATTCTAAGGCTTCGCCAAAATATTTGGGAAAAATATTGAGTTTTACGTTAGCAAAAAAGCGCCTTGAAAATAACCCTTGAAATCTCATTATTGTGATTCCGTTGATAAAACGTTTAAACATTTTATGCAAACCTTTTAAGTTTAAATTCTTCTATTATCTGATGAAATTTTTTTTAAATATATTTTTTAAAATAATTGTATTCATAAAAACATACATGTTTGGTGGTATTTTCAAATAGGTCCTGCTCACGTTATTCTTAATATTATGCCGAAATATTTCGGCGGAAGTTTTAGAATATAATTATTAAATAATTTTATAGTGCGGCACCCTAATATACATACGTAACTACTTTTTTAAACCTCATTGCTGAATATGTTTTTTTTCTAATTTCAGGTCGACCGGAACCAATTGTGACCTGGTTAAATGGGACAATGCAACTGGAGTCAGGCAATGGCGTTTCGATGGGCCGGCATGTGACTGTCAATCGGTTAGAGGTGCCCCATATCACACGCGCTACTCTAAATAATACCTATCGCTGCCAGGCATCAAATACCAAGTTAGTGCCACCCGTAGAACGCAGTATACGCATCGAAATGTTATGTAAGTTCAATATATTAAAAGTAAAGATTTCTTTATATGAATTTCGGCTCAGTTTTGCTTCTTTCTACAAATTTATCATTTTTTTTAAGTTGTAGTAGGTTTACAGCTATAATATCATGTATACAATCTTGTTTGCAATTCCATCTTTTACATCAATTGATTTTATGCGTGCTGAAGGAATCACTTTCCTTTTCATGGTATCCATATGGCTACCAAATTTTATTTCTATGCTGTTGCTTTCTTTTGGGCTACGGGCTACGGATAAATAGAAGTTGTGGGTAAAAAACAAAACAACCAATCATTTGTTTGGTTGGTTGGTTGAAGTTGCGAGTTTAACAATTCCAATCAGCACTTACGCTGGGCCGTTTTAAAACCACAGCTCGCAAAGAAAACTCGAAAAGAAACCAGCAGAAGTCGGTTATTTCCCTCAAACCCAGCATGTGATGTTCCAGAGCTTAATTAGTTGCAGTGAGTTAATGTCACTTACTTACTTATAGTGCGGGGAAATTATAGAGCAGATGCCACACCGTTCCTTCTGGTGAATTACAGCTACGACAAAAAGTATTATGTTCGAATACTAGTCTTGCAGGATGGATTCTCACGCCCAAGAGCTCTGTGCTTACTTATTTCTGTTACAGGTGTTACAGTTTCATAATAAATGCGGTGCGTTTTTCCTGCAGACCCTACATACTTGTACATCTTTCCACATAATATTAGCCACCTTTTTCCGATGCTGAGAGATGCGGCTTTGAATATAGCTCAGATGCACACTAACTTGATGGATATGATCCTTACACAGCCAAGTGCCCTGATCCAGGCAACGCTATCCTAAAAAATAGCAATGCCAGCTTTGAGGCTAAAATTATTTTGCACGCGTTTTTGATGTCAAAGACCTGAAAAACACTGGCCATCCCGGTAGTCAAATAGACACTCCTTCCTTAATGGAAACATCGTGCCGAAGTTTTTCTCAAAGAGAAGCGAAGGACAGATGTAGTCAGCTTTTTCGCAAATGCTTGGGTTTTTGAAAGAGAACAAGATACGTTTATACCCGTACGTACGTTCTTTCAACAGCCAAAGTTCTCTTAACCTCAGGGCACTCTGTGAACACTTTTCTTAATAAATAGATCAATCGTTGGCAAATGACAGATGACATTCAATGTTTCCGTCGGACATGATCTGATCGCCACAGTAATCGCAATGGAGACTGAGCTTTTTATTTTTACTCTTTTTATTTTCAGAGGAGGATGCATCGAAAGCCTAACCCCGTCAGTGTGAGACTTTGACCTACTAAACCTCCTACCGTCTATGTACCGATCCCCCTGGTACCACCGTTAATTGTTTCGTCGGGAGGCGGTTTGAGCACTAAGCTCCACGTCTGTTACTGTTCATTTTATTCCACTGTTTGTCTTGGTTGGTGTTAACTTGCCCACCTTTTTGTCTTGTACCACTAAGAAGTTCATTTCTAAGTCTAGCACTGTCCGGATGCAGCAGTTTAATGTCGGCTCTTCGATATTAGTTGAGAGGTTCGCCCTCTATATGCCGTAACTTTTCAAGAAAACGGGCTTTCCTTTATGAACTTTCCTTTAACCACTTGGGCAGCCATATGGCAGACATCTTTTCAGGCTTCTTCGCTCTTTATCATTGACGAAATCAGATTATCTGGTGTTACGCACAAACCAAGCTTACATTTAAGTGCGGACCTCATGGAGCTGAAACGGGGACACTTTAAAAATATGTGCTCTGCGTCTTCGATAACTGCTGGTCCGCATTGCTCGCAGTAAGCATTTGGTGCAAGTCTAAAGCGGTGCAAGTATGCTTTAAAACGGCCATGTCCACTGATGTTTTGGGTCAGGTAGTAATCTATATCTCCATGCTCAGCTTTCTACTCTGCCTAACATTGTATGTATATAAGTAGTTCATATCTATGGCTTTCCAGCAAACCCGCGAGCCGTATGCAATAATTGAGCAAATCACCGCCTAGAATATGCATGGCATAAGATCAGGTCGTAGGTCCCACTTCTTACCCAGCATTTACTTGCAGGAATACAGAGTACCTTTTTTTAAGTGATGCTCTGTGTTTATTTTCCAGTTTAATTTCGGTGCGAGAATGCCTCCCAAATACTTTACGCAAGGAGAAAGAGAAAGAGTATGCCCATTTAGGGAAGGTAGGTTAAAATTAGGAATATTTTCCTTGTGGTAAATATTAGTAATTCGGTCTTCTCAATCACCAGATTTCTGAGTGACTGCTCTAATGCCATTGGGTAACGTTGTTGAACGCTCCTTCTATGTCCAGGAAGGCCACCGACGTATACTATTTATTGCGTAGATTTCGTAGAGCGCCCTTTTTGTTAAGCATGCTGTGTAATAGATAATTGTCCGTTGCCTAATTATGCATGACAAGTAGCCGCTCGAGAGTTTTCAGTAAAAAAGATGAAGGACTAATGGGTCTGAAGTCCTTAAGCACCTTACAAACTTTGCGAATGAAAACTACTTTAACACTTTGTCAAATAGATGGAACATAGTTGAGTATTATTCATGTTTTGAATATGCTCTCCAGCCATGGAAGATCCAGAGGAAAGTTATTAATTGCCCATGCGGGAGAATATTCCCGCGTGATAATTTCGTTAACGACATTTATGGATGGTGCCGCTACGTTTCTATCTACAGCTTAGATCTCATTAAGGTTACAGCGTTGAAAATGGGTGCGAAAAGAAGTTCTAATGTTTCCTTGGAACTATTGGTTTACCCTTCATCTTTCTATTTCATGAAGGAAGGATTGCTATATTCCTTGGATAGGATCCTACCCATCCTGGCGGATGCTTTCGTTGATTCTATAGAAGAGCAGAAATATGTCCAGGATTATCAAGCTATATTTATAAGGCTGACAGTTGCCCGTGGAATAGCTTAAGTTTAAAGCTTTACGAGACTCTTTCCTGAGATTTGAGCTTTTCGCACTCCACCATAGAGAGTATTGCTTTCAGAAGGAACTTACGGGCAGGAGTCTTTAAAGGCCGATCCAATAGCATCCAAGGTCATTAAATCACTAGAGTTATGTTTCGCAAAGTTGTTGCTGACCACACTGGGTTACAAAAAGGAAGGGAAAGATTCGGGCAAACATAAAGAAAAATATTGCCGATCAGATACCCTCCAGTTATCTAAATATATTATAATACTGCCTCTACTGTTTCAATCGCTAGTTAGTCTTGTATCAAGCACTACTTCCCACCCACTAAGGGTATCAGTACTAGGAAAATTAAATGTAGGAGTGCTATCCCGATTAGAAACTATTAGGTTAGTGTTAAGAGCGTCATCGAAAAGAGACTCACCGCGAGTGTTTATTTCCGAGCTGCCCCAGATTGAATGCCTGGAGTTGCAATGGCATCGGATAAGTATACTGTTCTATTTAAATTTCTCCATTAGGCTACGAACCGCATCCGGCATTGCGTCCTCATTGCGTGGCATTTAGCACGAAGCGATAACCATGCTGGCATTCCCAGGCGCTTCGAGTCTCGCAGCTGTCAAATCCGACGCGCTACGGGAAGGAATGAGAAAAGTATTGTATTGAGATTTAACCACAACACAAGATCTAGGCTTACCGTCCGACTTCTGGTAGAAGACGTCTCAAAATATTCAAATTTAAAGAATATTTAAACCTAAGCTCGGAATATTTTTTCCTACGACGAGAAAATTTGGAAAGGAAAGGGTTAAGTCTGTCTATTATTTGCGAAGTTGCGTCAGTTGTTCATCCCAGTTGAAGATAGCGCTCCTTCTTTTATTGAATGCCGAGTTGAACATGTCTAAGCCAGTGCCATCGTTATATTTAAATCGATTAACTGTGTCCATGTCATTAAAAACCTTATAAAGTTCTCCTTTTCATCTTCTTTGGTAGCCGTACGCACACACAAATAGGGCCATACATCCATGTGAATTTACTGCGCGCTCATAAATAACTATGTACCTACTCATAAAAGAGAAAAACAGCTAAAAATACATTAAAGTCTCTAAAAGCCGGAAAACCAAACAACACTTATAGTTTAACTTAGAAGCATAGGCCCCGTATGAGTGCTTATTTTGATAAATTTCTGATTGTAAACAGTTTATTAAAAATCTCTCATCTTGTTTTTTCATCACTATTTAAACTACGTATTATTTACTTTGAACAAAGTTGCCTTGTTGGCGTGATTCCAATCCATATTCCATCCATAGTCAGCTCTTATTAATGTTTACGCTATCTTTGGTAACTGACTTGTGAACTTTTAAATCGATATAAACTGTAACTAATATGAATCATAACGAATAAGCATTTATTTGAATATTTAAATCGAAGACTTGTCTTTGTAATTTTTCTAGTAAAACCTACATCTGTAAACCTAACGAATAAATTGAAGGTCTTTTCATCTGGCACTCAGTATAATTTAACTTGTGTGGTTGCGGGCTCAGTACCAGATACGGAAATACGCTGGACTCAGAATAATCGACCTTTTAAAAGAGGAGTGGTAAGTTAATAACTGAAATAAGATAACAGTTACTTTATTGCTTTACTCAGGTTTACTGGTAAAAGCATTACTATGAACTGGTATTATACTTAATATTTAATTACAACTCGTCGCCTGAAAATTAACTGTTTAGGCATACCTAGTTAAAAATTAAACTAAACTATTACTCCTTTACGGCTTAACGTAGGATTACAAATATTAGTCACATACCCATTTATTTACTTAGCCACTTACCGTTAATACTTTTTGGGTTCAAAATCAAAACTATCTAAATTTTTTTATTTGTAGCTAACGACAACACAAAATAATGGCAAAGTCTTCTCAACCTTATCATTCCATCCACAACCCGAAGACGATGGCACAATGCTGAAGTGCGAAGGCTCCAATCCGCGCTTGCAAAACTCGGCAATCGAAGACTCACTTATGTTAAATGTTATGTGTAAGTATACGATCATTGTGTGGAGCAAAATCATAATTACTTAGCTTATGCATGGTAAAATAAAATTAATAAAACACTTTTCGGATATCTAAGGATATATATATATATATATATATATATAAGAGTATACAATTTATATTTTCGTCTTTTGTCGATACCTACATCTTTGAAGTGACTTTGTGAGAATTGTAATGCAGCTAGAAAGATGTGGTTTATTGCATTGAAAAGGGAGTAGGATCTATTTTAAAAATCGATAAAAGTAAGACCCGATCTCGCTTTTAAATTTCCCGCCTTAAATCCCGTTTGATATTGAATTACTCGGGGAGGTTCTTCAAAATTCTGACGTTGCTGGTGGTGCAACTGATCGTCATTTTAATAGCTTCTTTTCCTGGTGCCGAAATCGGCTTTAAAATCGAAAAAAGTATAGTGTTGACTCTCTTCTTACAGATTCTTTCTAAGCTTTGGTGTATAGTGAATACCTGAAGTCATACTGATGATGCCAAATCAGGTTTTAAACGATACAAAGCTTTAGAATTACAACCAATAAGACCTAATAAGCGACTTTTAAAAGGCTGGTCCCGCGATAATTGCCGCGTATGGCGTGGCCGCTTTTCTTATTTATCAGACAGAGCGCACTTAAATCTCAGTTGCCAAGCATGCGTTCACCTGATCAAATTTTGCACAAGAGTTGATACGCAGTACTTGAAAATCTCAGCCAGCAGGCTGTCTGTCAGCTCTAGCAGCTTTCTTTTCAGCCTTGATTTTTTTATACCTAACTCGCCATATTCGTTCGCTGGTGCATCGATTGTTTCGTCATCGACTGGGCACTTTGGTTGATCTTCTCCACTACTTTTAGTACTGTTACCATTCAACAGAGTGGAAAAGTATTCCCTTCATAATTTAAGTATAGTATATTCTTGACATCCTACGTTCTTACAGAAATTGATCCTGGGCTTGAAAATTAGACTACCATATTTCGGCCCCCGGCGAAGTCCATCATCTCTTTGTAGAAGCTGAATTTCCCGGCACCAAAGATCATTGTCCACCTTTAAATTTAAATCCCGAAGCAGAGTTTTGATATAAAGATGGGGTTCCGCGGGGTAGCGTTCGTAGGTGCGATCCAGGCCCTCATAGAAGAGGTCCTTGGACGCCTCGTCAACTAGCCCTTAGTTCTTTTTTTTCGTTCGCCGAAGAAGGGGTCTCATCCGAGAAAATTTGGGAGTATTCGTTGGCGGCTCATTTTACGTGGCCGGTCCTAAACCCAGCGGACAAATTATTTCTGATGGTTTTGCCTTCTCTGATTAGCACCAAATGGCTGTTCGGTTGCTACCCAGAAGATTTATGATTTACAAAAGTGCTCCACACATACGTGGTCTTCTGCACTTGGAACTATTCTGCGCGGGTATACCTCATATTAGTATTGATTTTGCTTTACAGAATTCTACCAATATTTTTTATTCTCGTAAATTTGAAAGTTCGTAATTGTGTGTGGATATTGATTACACTTTCACGCTAAAATGACTGGATGTAATTTTGAGAAATTTTTCACACGGTTAAGTAACCTTTATTAAAATAAACGTTATTTATTTAAGGGAGTAGCCACCTTTTTCAGCATTTAAAGTCAATTTATTAAATAGTTAGCTTAAGAAATACAAAATCAAATTAATTAACAAGATACCAAATATACTGAAGCTTAAAATCAATTTAATTAATAAGTTAATTGCAACATTTTAAAATTTTCTTATTTTGAATAGGGTTGTCTCTTTTTAATAAAATCACTCTCTATTAAATTAACAATTTAAATGAAATATTTTAATACGACTTAAAAGGTTCTATTTCGAAAGTATTTATAAAAAAAGGTTACCATCTGCTTAGTAACTAAAAATCATTTTAACTGACAAGTTTATTGAATAGTTTATATGCATGTCAACTGTGAGGTTAAAGTTAGCTTTATTTATAAAATATTTTGGGAGAGGGTTGCCCCCAGTTTCAAAGTTCTACTTCAATTTCAAATTATTTTGAAAGCATTTCCGATCACAGCTGCCACAATTTCAAATTTTATGCAAATCAAACTCATCTGTTTACGTAAAATAAAATACAAAAATTTGACATTGACTTAAAACTTAAATTATAGAGTTGCATACTACCACTCCGTAGAAGCTGGCTTTGATTCCTGGATCGGACAATGGCTAAATTAAAAAATATGCAAAAAATTTCCCATCAATGAAAAGCGGCAAAAATATTTGCTTAATCTGATTCAAAAGATTCGTTTACAGAAGCGTCATGAAACTGAAAAATTAAATAGAAAATTCAAAATTAAAACCTGATTTGCTTTTAGCTCCAAAACGCTTCTAAAAAACCTTGCTGTATGAACACTTTCACATAGCTACAGCATTTTCAAAACCACCCCTGGCAAAATTATAGGCGACAAAAATATTACTTTGATCCGAAATATTTTTGTGGGAGTTAAATAATTTTTTTTTGCGATAAAAAATATGCAAAACAAGATTATATTGGCAAGAAAAAAAATCATGTTTCTGAAAAGAGTACCGATTGCACCGTGCGGCTCGTGATTGCAAACAGCTCGTGAGACATGCTCATATGCACACGACCACATCCTCTAATTTCGTCCGCCTATTAGCTATTTAATTGATATTCTATTTCATGTAAACCAAAAACCTTTAACCCATAATTTTATTATCAACTGCACTAGTTTTTTAGAATAACACAGATAAAATAAATACAACTTTACAATTTTTTCCTGAAACTCTAATGTTCAAGTGGAAGCAACGATATATGCAGTTTTATTACAGTTAAGCATAATATCGCTCATATAAGGTAACAATGTATATTAACTCCTGGTTGCATAAA